GGCCTCGGTGAGGAAGAAAGCCAAAGAATATTCGTAAAAACATTTCTACTTTAAGCCATGTGAACAGTGTAATGAATTTTCTTGTTGTGTACTGCATGTATGGCTTTGAAATTTATTTTTATTTTTTTTTTTTGCAAAGGCAATCCCTAGTAGGAAATATAAGGACTTTTAAGGAAGACAGCAAATTGCAATGTCCTGAGATAGTACCTCTAAACAACCATGACAGATGTACATATGGAAAGTATTTTCTAGCTTTCAGATAACAAACAGCAGTCACAGCACCTATAGCACCTCTGGCTAAGAAATACGCAAGTCCTGATCTACTAAGGTGATTTAGTTTTGTATTAGTAAGGCATATCCATGTTCTTTCAGTATTCAGCCTACCTGGCTGCCACAGAAAACAAATCAAGAGAGCTCTATTTGTTCACTGTACAAACGAGAAAAACCTACAATTTTTAGCACATCATTTTTAAGTGAGTAGTCATTAAAACTTAACCACTTGCTCACTGCTTAGGAATCGGTGGAATAAATTCTATTGACAATTAATGTCTCTGGCCATCTATATAATTACTGACAGCATCACTTCGCTGCTAAATCCAAAGCAGTCCCAGCTAATTTACTAGTAAGCAGTTCTTTAAATTCCACAAGAAAACTCATAATACCAAATTGAATAGATTGTATCAGTGTGAAAAGACTCAGTGTTGGGAAACACCTTACTTATTTTACATTGAGACATTAATCATCTTTTTATTCTGATTTATTGAGCTCTTAAACCAAGAGAAGATGGTTGCTTATCTTCCCGTGATTGTGACCGAACTGCAGTGCAAGGTGGGCACCAGGAATGTTCTAAAAAGTAACACTACAAAAACGCACAATGCAAACTTTCTCTAAGCTGGAAACAATTATGAGTTAAATAAAGGCAAGGGTGTGAAGAAGAGTGAATGGAAACAACGATTTTATCTGAATGCTTTATTAAACGTTGAAAGCCACAGTGAAACTTGCAAGAAGGTTTGAGTTTAAAAACTGGCTGAGTGTGGAAGTTCGCATCCCATCTGCAGAATTATAGTCACTAAAGAGGATGCAGGCAACATGCCAGAGGGCAAGTCCACCCTCTAGAGGGACCTGCATGGGCTGGATGAAAGGCTGACAGCAACCTCAGCAATGCCAAGTGCAACACCCTGCCCCTGGGACGGACACAGCCTCTGCACGGGGACAGTCCCAGATGCCCAGCAGGGGACACCTCTGCTGGGAAGGCCTCGGGGCAAGGAGAGGCTGAGGAACAGGGCTTGTTGGTGAAGAGGAGCAGGCTTTGGAGGGACCTAAAAGCAGCCCCCCAACACTGATGAGGAGGTTACCAAGAGGACAGAGCCTTCTCGGAGGTGCGTGACGAGAACACGAGAGTGAGTTTGTAAGCTGAAAGGGAGGACGTCTGACTGCATGTATGGAAAAAGATTACCACATGGGTAACTAAGATTTGGAGCACCCAACACCACTTGGTGACAATCATAAGATAAACTCACAACTGGCAAAAATGAAGCGTTACAAAATTGATCAAAAAGATGAAATCTCTTGAACAGTACCATATAATGCAGGCAAATACAGTGGTCCTATTTCTGAAAAATTAATTAAAAGTCACACAAGGTGGCAGACAGCATCCTCTGTCCCTGAAAAGGTCTTTTGACAAGAACAACAAATTACAACATAGGTCTCCAGATCAATTCTGTAGCTGATAAGAAGGTAGGTTTTGGATACATTAGCAAGCCTGAATATTGAGATAATCTCTTTATCTAGCATTTGTGAAAATGGAGGTTTGAGGACTCTGTCCAAATTTATTGTACAACCTTCCAAAAAGTTACTGAATTTTGCAAAGTGTGTGGGAAAGAACTGTAGAATTACTCAAGTTTTATAAGCAATTGTATGTACTTTAAAAAATAATTTGTTTAAAAGTGACTTGTTGATCACTGGCTGAAGAAAACTGCAAGGGAAGAGGTTCAGTAACTGACTTCCTCGAGCTGAAGGAGCCCCCCCGCGGGCTGGAAGCAGAAGCTGCATTTGCTCAGATCTCAGATAAGACACAGTTTTTTAAAGCAATTAATTGAACAATTTGAGCTTTGAATTTTGTACCATTTTTAGATCCTATAACAAGGCTGCTCTCCCAAAAACTACAACTACATGCTCAGGTATAAGACATAGATTTGATGCAAAAATTAAGAGGTTCCTTATGCAGGAAGAGACCACAACTGTCCCTCACAGCCTGATCTGTAACACAAACATTCACAGCACAGCTGTTTTCCAAGAATCAATAATAAGGATCTGATATCTATGATGTGAGTTCTTCCAGCATCTGCAAGGCGGTAGTCATTTTTGATGATTCGATACCAGCCTACGGCAGAACTGAACAAACTCCAGTTTCGCATTTTCAATAACCAGAGGCAGGCTTCAGATTAGCTGTTAACCTTTCGGGCAGCCATACTTAGCCTGGAATGTCAGCAAAGGGATCCCAGGATTTGAAATCTGAAATGACATCAGTGAAATACTGAGTCATCTCCTCCAGGAGCACCACAGAAGACAGCTCGATGTACATTTGTTGTGGCTGTTACAAGTCATATACTCCCACGCTGTGAAATGACCAAAGGCATTCTCTTACAGTATCTGTTAACACACAGATGTTTGTGTACAAAACTATTTGTATATAGACATATTTGCACATTTGTTTGTATATAGACTGTGCATGCGGTCATATATATATATTACACATACATTATTTGTATAATTGTATTGCACAAAAATGTCTCAGGGAAAATTCATTAGCATTCTCATATTAATCATATCACACAGTGAAAGTATTTTCTTAAGAGACAGGACAGGACCGCAGCAGTTTCACTTCACAACGAAGTGCTTATATGCTACATGACATCTATGCCTGGGAGAGACAAAAATTAACTCACACTGCAATTGTGTCCTTTGAGGCTAATTGTAAAAGCAGCCATTTCTCTCCCTTACATATTCTCTCCAGACAAGCATTACTGGTTTTGTCTTGATGTTTCTGTAAGACAGAAACTATGGAAACTATGGAAAATCCAGCACTACCTGGTGCTGTCACTATCAATGAAATACCTGAACTAAATTACGATAAGCTAACATGGCAGAACATGAATTTTACAGATACCTGTGTAGACTACTTAGAGTTTACTAAATAAAAAAAAAAATTGTTCTAAAAATATTTTTATTTTAGGAGACTGTCAAAAAACCCACTCAATTTCCCTTTCATTTCTCCCACAGCTGCTTTTATCTGAGGGAAAAAAAAAAAACAAACGAAAAAAAACCCAACAAACCAACTCAAAACTTCCATGCTATTAGCGTAGCAGTATGTATTTTGAGTGCTCACCTCTCCGTTTTTGAGGGAGGTGTGCTTTTAAAAGCAGGTAACATTCTTCCTTTGTGTGGATTCCCAAGATTTCCAATTTCTGAATGATGTTGAGAGATACAGGACAGCAATTTCTTAGCATTTCATCACTCTGGGAAAAGGATGTTACTGGCTGGCTGGTCTGAGGTCTCACAATTTACTCGAAGCACTGGTAACGCTCACCTACCACAGCCTCAGTACATCTGACAAAAGACTGTACTAGCACTATGGCAGCATCTCTCCTTACAAAAACCTACCCAGACACCAGACAAGCAGCTTTCCCTCTGGCAGTGAGAAGAAATCAAGTGCCAAATTTGACACTCAGAAATAAGTGTGTAGCCTCACCTTTCCAAAAGAGCTACAAATTTCCCTGGCAAGACAGTAGAGAATAATTCAGTCTAAAAATGCAAACAAAGAAAATGATTCAGCCTGCCACCTTTACTATGCTGGTTTTGTTTCTCCAGCTGTATCCCCTCTGTGACTACTTTCAGTGTTTTATGGCTTGGAAGGCTTGCTGGTACTCTTTGCCAAAATGATGTAACAAAACCACTAAAAAAACTCTTCCAGAGTAGGTGTCTACTAAATTTTTCCTCATCTTAGGCTTACAGTCTTGTCCCAGCCCTGCAAACACTGACAAATAGCAGAATAGCTACAAGATCTCATTAAACCAGAAAATCGCTAGAAAAACTAACTTGCAATCCTGATGTTTCCTCTAAAAAAAATGAGATAAATTAGGTGCACTGCCTGACTTGGCATTTTCCATGAACCCTTCAAATCAACGTTTACCTGGAAACTTTCTTCAGTCCTTAAGGTTAACTTAACAAAAGTATTAGAAGAGTTTAATTAAAACAAGAGATCTTGAACATGCTAAGTGTAACTTTTATATTCTTGAGGTATGCATCTATATAATGTAACGTGACATAACTTCAGAGATCCATACAAGGGGGAAGTTAGTACTTTGTTCACCTCTACCTTCGTGCTCAATTTCAGTTGAGAGGTACATCTCACAGATGTTCATCAGGCCACTAATCAATACCATGCTTTGCTTTGCCCAGTCTATAATACATACAGAACAAATAGGATCAGTAAAAAGAAAATTGTTTCCGCTCCTGTCTTTCAAACGTGCCCAGATTTCTCCTGGCTTAATAAAAGCAGGCAATATGTAACAGTTGTAAGGAAAAAAAGTTGCATTTTGAAAGAGACAGAGAAGGATGAGATCTTTCTGCGGGCCTTTTAAGGTAAAGGCTACTCACATAACTGCATCAAATCAATTCACTATCATTTGCTGCACAGAACACGTACAACTTCAGGGAAAATCTCAGAAAAAAAAGAAGGAAAAGATCCTCTATTTTGGGGACATGACTACATTATGGTCAACAATTCTAGCATATGGTGAGTAACACTACTGTGTAGAGTTTACCTTCCCAGACAAAACACATTGTTTGAATAACTGGTTGCTGATACAATGAGTCACTCGTCACTCGACTGCCTGAAGTACCAGCTCGGATGCTTTAAAAGGACTCACTGGGAATCAACAAGTACAGTATGTGTAGTTCTTTAGGAGCAACATGCTTTAAATAAACCGCTGACTCACCTTGTCACGCAAATGATGCTCTGCAGCCTCAATATTCAAAGGATCGTCAAAATTCAAAAGATCCTGGAAAGGAAACAGATAACATTATAGAGTTCCCCTCTCACTGCATTATACAAGGAATTGAAAGCCCTACTGAACAAGATAACGAAACAAAGCAAACAAAATCAGCAACTGTAGTGCCATTTTCTCACTACCTTGATAGGTATGCCTGCCAAAGGTAGATGGAAATGAGTTTGACAATTGCACACCAAATCACAAGTCAACTAAAGGACAACAGCAGCAAGGCTTTCAACCTCCTCTGGTGGCATACCACACAACGTCCCATGACACTTCTCTCCGGCAGTGATGCATTTCTATTTGAATACTGAGATGGTTTTAAATCAAATTTTGAAGGAACATTCAAAGTTTCAGAAGGCACAATTCCTGTTGATTTTTTTTCCAAGGGTAAAGTAAACAAACAAACAAAAGAGTTCAGACCTGCAAACAGCGGGGTGATAAAGCAGGAAGAGTTTCCTTAATACCATCTCCAATAGCCAAGTAATCTCATTCCCTCTGAGAAGAAACTACATAACTGGAGCCTGACAGAGAGGAAGGTTTTAGTGCAATGGGAAAAACAGGGCCCAGAGAAAAGAGAGTGCAAAGACCAAGAGCAAAGGGCACATGGAGGCAGGGAGCAGAAACAGTCAAAATAAATCTCAGGTTTGTCAGTTTTACCTCAATAAATATCAACTTTGGAAGGAGAAAGGGTCTAGGGTTAAAACCAAAGGGAACTAAGATGCTGATAAAAGGGGAGTCATCATAAAAAAACCCCACGACATTGAATCACAAAGCCCCCTATTCTGCCTGCAGCCCAGATCACTTTCCCCCATTTGAGGTTAGCCTGTGACAGCAGTGAAATGCTATCATTTCATGAGTGTGAAAGGCTCGTGTCACTCTCCGACTCATTTTCAAGCAGCAAACCTCCCATTTCATTCAAACCAGGACACCAATCCACCTTACTTTCACTTACTTTCTTCAAGAAAACCCCCAAAGAATCTGCAAGACCAGTACAAGCCAGTGCCAGCTTTTCAAAGCCTAATTATTTATAAAACACTCAGTGAGGGAAATCTAAGAGGCAAGCTGGGAAGCACAGCTCTTACCAGCCATGACAAATCCCTGCAGTCTCCAATGTGTGACCATCGCTCTTTGCAGCTGTTTGCCCAACAGATTATTTTTACGTGCAGTTCTGCCTCTGAAGGCACTTCTTTATACCTCCAGTGGATTTCACTTTCTTCCAGTTATTTAGCATGCAGTGGGAGACTAACTGTGAAATGCAATTACTCTTTGTTGAAAAGGCAAATGCTCTCCAATCTTCTAAATCAATTTACGAAAGAAGTTGTCGAAACAAATCAAGCCTTTGGATGCCAGGAAAGCTTAGGAGATTGTAGCCAGTCACTGACTATAGTCTATGCTAGAGGTTTTAGAAACACACCATGATCCTGCTGATAGTGCTGTGAGCACAGTCACTGCTCTGCCCCTCTTCCTACAGGCAGCGGTGGAAGGAATTCCTGTCTCCAAAAACAGGCTGGGGCTAGCAAAGCCTACCACGATGCTCCTCATCCAAAGCTTTTCACAGCCTCCTCTGTATACCTGGGAGTGGCTCGGGTAGTTCTCTCCAGAGTCAATGATAAACGTGATGACCAATTAGTGCCTTTCTTTGCTTTGTCTGACCTTCCACAGCAATGGCTGTGGAAGGGGACCATAATCCTGGACTCCCTAAAAAAAGGCAGCTTTTGTACAGTAAAGGCTTAGCCTCTCTCAGCTTTTTGGGCAAAACCAGCTGTTGCATCCTGCCTGCCTCTTGCAGCTTTCTGCCCTCTCCTCCATTTTCAAGTTGCTCCTGTTATTACAAGGCACAAGTTTCTAGCTCCTGTCAATCTAAGGAAAAGGGGGAAACCGGGACCCTGAACAAAATCATATCATTTCTGTAACAAGTTGGGGTTTATGCAAATTCTGCAGCTGGGTACCAAGGCCCTTGAACAGGAATATAAGTGTTCAAAACAGGAATGAGACTGCAGGGCTGTCATTAATTCCCTTAATTAACACCAACACAATTCCTGCTCAGAGCAACATAAATTTCTATTTCATGCAAACTAGCAGAAGGAACTTCATTCTGTGTGGAAGATCCCAAGTAACTTATTACCAAAACATCCCTAATAGATTCATAGCCAAAAGTAAAAACAACGTACAGAAAACCTCACATATCAGACCGTCTGTATGAGTCTTGCAGTTATACAAACAAAAGCACAAACTGATTTCATACTTGTACAACACCCACTGAAGCAAATAATTTGCCAAAGCAAATAATGACCTTAAATTTAAGAGGCAACAGACGGGGTTCGCATTAGGTGATGCTGAAACCAAACCAGGCAGGAAAAAGGAAAGTGGATAAGTAAAATATTAATTTACTTACAGTAAATAAAGAGTTTAACCCCCAGACAACATCCTGCAAAGGAAAAGCACAATCAGTTAGGCATGCATTTCAGGTGTTTTGAACACATTCACATACTTTATTTATCTATTAATCCATGAAATTACTGTTAATCAAATCTAGATTAAGGGTGATGTTTTACTAATTTAAATCAAAGTATCGAAAAAGATTTCTCATTTCATGGATGCTTGATATTTAGAAGTCACCAAAAAATAAATACTGCATATTCAAATACAACTTCAGGTCTTCCTGTGTGTATAGGAGCACAGGAAGACCTCCTGTTGTTTTTCTGATCGAGGATAGGAATAATACCTTAGTATAAGCCACCAACTGACTGCATTGCTTAGTTCAAAGGGTGGATATAAAACTTAAATCAGCAATACATTCTTAAGAAATTAAAATGGTGTCAGACAAATATTTGCAGCAAAATATTAGAGAAAAGAGATTTCGGTCTTCTGTGAGTATGGAGAAATATCATTCTTATATGAGCATGCGTCTCAAATCATTTTACTGCCTTTAAGTATCTATTTAAACACAGCTGAATATAGATGATTTGCAATTTGTGCAAACAGGAAGCTTCAGGGTAATCTGCCTCCAAACGGTGTAATCAAACACAGCTTATTTTGGGGTGGGCATCTCCAAAAGGGTTCCGCTAGCACTGACCCAAGAGCCCACATCCTCAGTTACAACCTTCAGAGAGTAAGGAGATACACAAGATCCAAATATTACAAGAAGAGACTTAAAAGCATCACCTACCACCAACTCTGAGGCTCAGCTTTTCTACCTAGAAGAAAGACTATCTTCTTTAGTAGCAGCATAACTAAGCTACCCTACTGCAAAATCCCAGTGAAGTCTGGGCACTGGAGCTCACACCTACTAGACAATTAAGTAAGATCAGCATTGCACCTCCTGCCCTCACAGCCTGCTAGCACTTGACTGCCTACCCAAGAAAGTCACACTGCCCAATTTCCAGTAGCGGGACAAATGCTGCACATTAATCGTTTCATGGCTAAAATATATCTTTCACAATAAAGATAAAGCCTCAAAGTAAAAACTTCCTATCCACAGCAAAGAACTTCTATAAACAAGCATATTCCAGCTTGTTTCCTGTTCTGGGCCCTCTGCCAACTGTGGTGGATCACAGAAATCCATATCCCTTAAGAACGCTCTCCAATTATGCCCTAATGAAAAAGACACGATGTCAGCATTATCTGGACAACAGCCCCTCACGATCCAGTTTTCCTCTGATCTTGCACAACCAACATACTCAGTTTATCTGCCTTTAATAACATGAATCTGCACAGCAAATCTGATATTGTCAGACAGTGTTTTCAGTTTCAGCATCTTCTCCTAATGGAGCTTCTGAAATCATCAGGTGTGGCAAAGACAGCAACTCTTTCAAATGTACTCATCAACTTCAGTGGCAGCACAGATGCATAAACTGCAAAAAAGGACATACCCGAGACACTTAAGAATTATAGTTATCCGTACATTTTAAGACCACACTGCTGAGCAGTCATCCCCACTCCCAAACGACCATACTGTCAGTTCCTTGATAAATATGAGAAAATGAACTATTTCAAATAATGGAGGAAAGCCATCATTTTATCCTTTATTTCAATCTTGTGCTGCTTGTTCAACTACAACTACTGTCACAGAAACAGGGCGTAGCAGAGATTATTAAGGAAACCTGTACTAAACAATCCCAGAGATAAACTGCAGTGGTGCTAGAGAAAAAACAAGCCAAAGTCACCGATTAAAGGAGGATTTCGGTGGTGTGGAGAGCCTGAAGAGTAGGAACAGGCATGAAGGTCTCCACCTCCACTTCACTCTCCTGCATCTCCTGAGGACTGACTGATGCAGGGTGTGTAACCAGGGACAGCTGAGAGTGTCTCTGTCTCCAGCCAGCCACTCTGCCCCAGCAGATGCTCTGACCCCTGAAGGTCAGGAGCCCCGTACACTGCTGCCCTCAAAGGCTGTATTGTCCTTCAGGGAGGCAGAGTGAATGTCTTGCGGGTGTTAAGAATTTCTTGCATCTGATTTTAACCCACTATGTATTTCCCATAACCTTTGATAATGGGACCTGACTAAAGCATGGTAATTTGCTCTATTCCACTTGAACAAGCAGCAATAAACAAACTTTTTAAGGGTTATCTTTCATCTACACCATGTGACAGCAGACTGTAGCTACAGAATTACTATATCGAGTGTTAAAAAAAACATCCTAAAGAAGTATGAGGAGCTCACACTAGCGCACTGGGGTCTGTCCATTTCCAAGTCCTGCCTGAACACCGCAACGGCATTCACAGGTTGCAAACTGTTCAACCACTTACCAGCGTGGCTAAAAAGAAATAAACAAAAGACCAACTCAATCACATTGATTCTGAAATCCTCACCTTCTCTTTACATTTAATAGTGTGCTAAAGCCTCTGGTCTCCCAGAGCCTCCCCACCAAGACGCTTGCAGATTGTCTCTCCAGACAAAACAGCTTCTGCTCCAATACAAGCAGTGACAAGCTCTACCTTACACAAGTAAAGGTTGCAACTCAAACCAGAAATGTAAATCATATCAAATTATTTTCTCATTCCATAAACACCCCCTTTTGAAGTTTACCTAAATTGCTCCTAAATTCTTATTTGCTGAACCCTGGTTTTAAGACTTTGAGACGCTTAACCCATTATTTAATTCAAGCTGGATTTGCACAGAGTTCTATCAAAAAAAAAAAACCCAAAACCAACCAAACCACAAAAACCCATCAAAAACCTCTGTAAGGCTGTGAGTTTTCAGAGCACTGTACATTTTTATAGCCATTCTAGACACCAAAAAGCATAAAAGGATTATTATTATTACTGAATAACTTGTGTGAATTTCTTAATATCATTTCTGATCTGTTTCTACCTATTCAAGTTTTATGATTTGCTGGATTCATTTTATACCCTTGCACAGCTTCATGAAAAATAATGCTGAATTACTACCAGAGGGCAACACTTTTTCGTAATGAGTTTTGAGGCTAACCTGGATTTAAATCTATGATATTGAGAAAGGGAAGTGGGATGGAACTGATGAGCACAAGTGAAGCAAGTATTTCATATTTGAAAAACTTGACACTGTTGCATTGAAAAAATAATCACTTTGCATTACTGACTTCAGCAGAGCTGCTTGCTGCATGCAGATAAGCACTTGCCGGAACGCTTGCTTCACATTTTCCTGCTGAAAGAACTAAAAGGATTCACAAGCCACTGAAGAACAGACCCTGTCAGATTTCAGAGTTCAAAAACTTCAGTTTTCTTTTAATGTAATAAAGCATCATCCTCGGCTTCAAACATTTACTGAACTTCTGGCTTAAGTACTCTGAAAGCAGAAAGTTAACCCTATGTGCAAGAACTTTTAAAGGTTATCTTCACACGTAGGAGCAGGGCAGATGTCGCCTTAAAATGTTAATAATGCACACCTTTATGCTGCTCCACTTCAATTGGAGAATCTACTTGCAAAAGGAGAATCAGACACAGGGATCTGTCTGTTCTCATGGTGAATACCTGACAAGCCCATTTCCTTTACAATACCTCTGTTTTGTCTACTTTCTTCTACATGCCTAACATCAAAGTTACAGGGTACAAGTACACCCACTACTGAGCAGTAACCTCAGAGCAAACCTGAGGACCTCTTGTGCTTTTCGGAATGAAGCAGCACACTCTGCTTGGGGTGGACCCCACAGAAAAGGCTGCAGAATTCCCCAAACCTCTTTCACTGGTTTCTGCTCCAGCTGTATCCAGGCAGGCCCTCTCTCTGTCACCCTGGTCTCCCAGAGGCTTTGCAGCAGCACAGACATCACCCACAAGGTTAGATGCCTTTGCAAGCCAACTGCAGGTCTCAGATAAGCAAGTGTTTTTAATTCCCCTCTACTATGTTAGTTCAGAAGATTCAAGTATCATACTTGAACTAAAGACCAGTACCTGGTTAAATCCATAGTGGAAGATGCAATAATGAAAGAAATATGCTCTGCTGCTCAGCACTGTCACTATTTTGAGCTCAAGCATGGGAAGTCAACACAAGCAAGTCAGAAGATCAACAGACTGTTATAAATAACCCTTTATAATCACCCCTTTTCATTCTTGAGTATTTGTGTTGCATTTGAGTGAAAATTACATTAAACCCCTACCCACAGATTTATTTATGGCTTGCCAAATGAGGAAAAACATCTGCCATTGCAGCAATGTTTAAAGTTCAAGAGCAATGAATCAAAATACTAAATACAGCTTTTGAAATAGCCTCTCCTGAGGCTAGAGAGTCTCAAAGTGTTGCATTTGTAGGAGGTCCTAATTCAGTTAGTGAACAAATCTTCCCAAGTGACAGTTCTCACAACAACTTCACAAAAGCAGTGCCATTGAAACCATATAACAGACAAGCATTTAGCTATGCTTGCCGAGGTTTAGAAATACAACCACACAGCACTTCTTCTGAAGAGAGCGTAAACACGTAAATTGTAAATTAAGATTTTCCTTTAACAGGCAAAGTATATTTAATACATTAATTTGAGAACAAGCCAGACAAAAGCTGTTAATGAACTTCCAATCAAAGAAACTTCTTTAGAGATCCAAGGAGCATTTCTGATCTAATAGACTGATTAAATTAAAGCTCATTGCTAAGCCATTTTTTAACATACAAACAATTTAACCCATTCAGATCAATGAAACGAGCAGCAGTCATAGTCATTTATACAAGCAGATGGAGTTTTGGGGGGGGGGTTTGTTTGGTTTTGGGTTTTTTTTTTTGTTTGGTTGGTTTTTTGGGTTTTTTTGTGGGTTGTTTGTTTGTTTGTTTGTTTGGGGGGGGTTGTTGGGTTTTTTTTTTTGTTTTTTCCAAACTGAAGCAGTAATTGCAATAAAACAAGTGCCAAGCTTTGTACATCATACATCACAGTTTGCAAAAGGGCTTAAAAAATCAGCATACTTAACATCAGACCGCTGCATGGCTGTCTCCTGGGGCAGCTCTCTGCTGTCCTGTCTGCCTACACA